CCCCTTACTTCTCACAAGTCCGCATTCTTTTCCCTGTAGTACGAAGTAGTAGCCGGATAAGAAGAATCCCAGTCACGTGTCAAGGATGCACCTTCTTTTAAGGCTAACGCAAGATAGCTCTGCCAATTCATATATAATCCCTGCAAACTCCATAACAAAGTGCACCCTCTAATCATTCATTGGCCGGAGTCAAGAGAAACGTGGGTGAAAAGAGCCCGCTGATTGGTGTTGGAGAGAACAAGTGAGCTACCCCCGGGCTCTCCACCAGCAAATCTTCCTATCTCACGACGCCGTTCTGGCATCGTAGGCCCCCGATCAGGAAATTATAGAGGGGCGCTTATGGCTGGTTTCTCGTTTCTTCGTCTCATCTCTGCTTGTCTCTCTTTCTTTCCCACTCTCTTTTCTTTGGTTCCCTACGCGGAACCACCACCAGCGAGCGGGTGCTCCGAGTCCGGTCCTGCTCTAATACTCCGTTGACCTTTTTCCCTTTCCCTCTTCTCTCTCGTTCTTGTTCCTCCACTCTACTTTTTCCCCCTCTTTCTCTTCGCCACGAGTACTAATTCGTCTTCCCTCCTGTTGCTATCATTGCGGTTATTTACGCGTCCGCCCGACCGCACTCATTATCGTTGCCTCTTCTTGCTTCCCCTCTACCCCACCTCGTTGGCTACATTTACCTCCGCCTTCCCGGGTCACGACTTTCCCCGTGCTTGTGGTTCGTCGAGACTGAGAAACGGGGGAAGGAAACAAAGAAGGAGTTTGCGCGAGCAAGAAAAAGAAATATAGACGGAGAAAAGAGGAACGACCTCTTGCTTTCCGCTCTGCTTTGGTCCGGCCGCTGGCATTTCATCGGTTCCGCCATTCTACAGAGTATACACCTGTGCACGGGACTTTTCTAAAGGACCAAGCGGTGCTGCGAGTCACATAGTCAGTGTGAAGATGTATGTTGTTTCCCTGCTCGTCTTTCGCCTCGAAATGGTGGTTTGTCGGTGCATGGCTTCGAGGCATCTTTAATGTTCTTCCATCAATTCTCATCTATTTACTGACACTTGGGTTTAATCTACAGGAAGTTTGGGAAACAGATCCAACGCCGACAGCTTGACCTTCCAGAATATGCGGCAAGTTTCGTCAACTACAAAGCCTTGAAAAAGGTGCGCTTCAGTTGATTCCAGTGCATAGTCATTTGGTCCGGACGCTTATCACTCATGCTTCGATAGCTCATCAAGCAATTAAGCGCAACACCTACGATCCCCGCGCAATCAACTACAGATGTCCGCCACGATGTCCCGGACGCACAAAGCGCTTTGCGCGCGAATAAGGAGGTGTTCTTCTTCCGATTGGTACGTCGCGGGGCTCCGGCGTGATGGTTGACAAACGAATTGTGTCCTAGGCTGACTGGGCGGGCTTGTTACATATAGGAGCGTGAAATAGAGAAAGTCAACATTTTCTATCTCCAAAAAGAAGCTGAGGTTTGTCTCCCCTGCTTGCATTCGTTAGATCGGAAAGGAAAAGACACTGAACAAGAGATTATAGTTCTCACTGCGCTTAAAGACATTGGTCGATAAGAAGCGTGTGGTCCAGTCCCGGGCTGTGACCAATTCCAAAGCCCCGGCGAATTTCGTGGCTTTGTTTGAAGGGTTCCAACAATTCGACGGCGACTTGAACAAGTTACAGGTAGGTTCACTTGGATGCTTCCTGTTATAGGACTCTTTGAACCAACTCCATCTACAAGTGTCTCGCTGACACATTCCGTTTTATAGCAATTTGTCGAGATCAATGAAACTGCCATGTCCAAGATCCTCAAGAAGGTTCGTTTTCAACTTCAGCTTCTACGGGGTGTAGAAGAGGGCTCGTTGCTAGGAGTGTGATAAGCTGACGAAGATACGTGCTATAGTGGGACAAAACCTCAAAGGTCTGATATATATCTCCGCATCCGACTAGATTAAACCGGTAGGATTGTCATTGCTAACATTTCCTTTCTTTTCTTGCAGTCCCGCATGAAAGAGTTATATCTCCATAGGGCCGTTGAGGTACAACCCTGTTTCAATCGAGATGTCCTGCGTGATCTATCAGACCGGGCGACAACCGCGCGCTTGGAATTGGAAGCTTGGGCTGAAGGAGAAAACATCCAATTTGATGCAGCTCGCCCGGCTGCGGCAACCGCGCAGTCGCTAGGATCCGAGGAAGAAGATATAGACGCGCAGGTCCTGCAATCGACAACTGCGGGTAATCTCCAGACTCTGCGCGAGTGGACGACGAAGCTGCAGTCATCTCCAGACGGCGGGGAACGTGCCACTCGCATGTTCCTTGCGGCCATCAACGAATTCTCTGACGAAGTGTTGGCTCTTCTCCTGGAGAGTAACTTGGTGGAAATGCAAGCAGAGGACGACATCAATGAACGCAATTGTCTGCATGAGGCTACTATCTCTGGGCGCGACTTTGTCCTAAAGACCGGCCTTGCGGCGGGTGTCGATGTGTCGAGGTTGGATGTCTATGGCAGAATCCCACTTCATTACGCTTGCATGCATGGACGTGTGGATATGGTGCGCAAGCTACTAGCTGCCAGCCCCGCCACTGTCGATCTTATGGACCATGATAATTTCACGCCCTTGATACACAGCATTGTCAAGGACCAACTGGCTTGTGCTGAACAACTTCTATACAGTAACGCACGCATTGATCCGGCTTCGGAGTCGGATCATATTCCGCTTAATCTTGCTTGCCAGCATGGGTCATTCCCAATAGTGAAAATGTTACTCGAACGGAATGCGCAATTGCTCCCAGATGCTGAAGGCCTCTACCCACAACACATGGTAGCCCGTGCATCACAGTCGCCACAGTTGCTGCTGCTCCTTCAGCAGCATGGTGCCGATATGAACCAAAGAGATAAGCTGTACCAGTGGACCCCGCTCTTCCATGCAGCCAGTGAAGGCTGTGTTGGGTGCCTCCAAACATTATTGGAGTTGGGTGTGGATGCGGATGCTGTGGATGAGAAGAATTTGGCGGCCATGTATTATGCGGCATGGGAAGGGCATCTGGAGTGCATGCTCCTTCTTTGGTCTCATCGTGGTGATGAAAAGCCACCAACTCAAACGCCGCTTGATATTCTCCATGGTTTCAGATTACAAGAACCTGAAGGTGCCATGTCAGATCAATTCGATTCCGGGGATATGGAGACAGCGGACGGCATTCCTGACCTTTCTCTGCCACCACCCATCATTCCCTTGCGGCGCTACGGTCACAACTTCCTGGACAAAAAGGTGTTTGTCCAGATTCTCTTCGATCAAGGTAATTCGGGCTCAATATATTTTGACCAGGCGGGCCGTCATCCAGCTGCCCGGTTGACCATCTCGTCAAAGCTTTCCGATCTAATTCCCCGCACGATAATGCTTCCCATCCAGGACGATTCGCGGACAATATCGTTCCACGTTGACAATCTGGATACTTTCGCCGTGGACTTTGAAATCTTCCCCACATTTGGCTCTAAGGTAATTGCAAAGAGTGTTGCGCTACCGGTCGTATTCAGAGCCGAAAATTCCAGTACTGGTTCCTGCACTTTGCCCCTATTCGATCCTAGATTGCGGTCAATCGGTCAGCTTCGTTTTAGGTTCCAGGTCATTAAGCCTTATCATGGCGATCCGCTGGAGATCACCCATTTTGCGACATACTGGAAGGCGACCAGCGCCCTCGACTCGGAGCATAACGGCTTAGTCACCGGCTCAAGTTTGTCGGGCGACCATGTCCAGCTTTTCGTGCAGCTGACCAAGGATTGCGTGCCTGTGCTTCATCCACAGTTCGCCATTAACCACCATGGAATCGAAATCCCAGTTTGCCATCTCACGTACAGCCAATTTCAAACAATTGGCGCGGAAAGAGGTGCCCACCGTTCAGAAATTGTACACTTCGTACAAACACAAGTAATGAACGACCTCGCTCAACTCCATCGTGTGCTGGCCGCATCATTCCTCTCATTGCAAGATGTCCTTGAGCAATTGCCCATTGGCATTAACATCAATATCTCTACGCTTTATCCGTCACCGACAGAGGAACATATTTTGGGCATGACTTCCTTACCAGACGTCAATACCTTTGCCGATGCTATTCTTACGAACGTCTTTGACCATGCTCGCGTTTCACGGGAGAGACACCCCGATTTCATGCGTTCCGTAGTCTTCACTTCCTATAACCCTAACATCTGCACTGCGCTTAACTGGAAACAACCGAATTGTAAGTACCTGACATTTATCTCGAGCGTCCTTTGTCTTTGGGCTATGATTTGTGCTGACATAGCCCCTTTCCAGACCCTGTCCTTCTTTGCAACGACCTTGGGCAAATTCGTGACTTGGCTCGCGATATTGGCTCGCTGCCTGATGTCCATAGCAGTGGTAAAGCATCTATGTCCATCAAGGAATCCGCACGCATTGCTCAAAGTAATAACTTCATGGGACTGATATGTCGGTCAAGTCTTCTGGTATGGTTGCAATTTTCTTCTTCACTGGCTTGAGTTCGCAATCGTTGGCCGGGCATAAGCTACTATTCGACGATGGATGAGAGAACTGACTCAATTCACTACAGAACGTCGTACCAGCTCTTGTGGAAACGATCAAGGAGCTAGGTCTCGTACTGGTAGCAGATACTTCGGACGATGTCGGACAGCCTTCGCAGAGTGAAGAAATGATAACTGCGGACCCAATGGGCGTTGCTGAGTGGGCTTATCGAATGCCTGACGGTGTCAATGGCGTGATGAAAGCCAATGGCATTTTGCGATTCAATGATACGATTGACATATGATATTTACCTTGCTTTGAATTACCAATTGACCGTTATAGTCATGTCTGTTATACCATGCATATATTGACATATATTCAAGATTTCGTCTTTTTTTTTTTTTTTTTTT